ATATTATATTATATATTACCAATTCAACAAATTTTACACGTATAATTTGGTGACATAGCCAATGTATTTTTAAGGTTATAAATTTGTGATAGGGAAAAGAGTAGGCTTGTTTTGGCAGAAGGTGATTGTGTTCTTTTTATAGCATATTGATTTTCTTTCTGTATTTTGGTAGTTAAAAAATTAATATGGGTGTGGGTTTTGTCAACCAAATAAAACATATATCAAAAAGTTGAACCAATTGATACGTCCAGCATATAAATATCTAAAAATAACAAGCATAATTTCAATGAGCTAAGCCAAGGTCTAGAGAATGGAATTATGATCTGGAGAATCAGAGAACCTGACTGTTCGAGAACTGATTTCACCACTGTGTTTTACAGATCTGTAACCTGATCATGCACCTTTGACAGAAAGTGTGCTCTTTTGGTTCAAGGATAGGGCTGGAAATTGTTAAAAATTATATACATGTGAAGTTTTGTTTAGATTAATCTCTTAATTTAAGATTTCCTTTCTTATTTCAAAAGATAGTGAAAACATCTACCTCAGGGAGTTGAATGAGTTTTATTTAATTACTGTGTCTGCTGATTTTGAGGCCTTAATAAATGCATCACAGCAAATGTTCTAGGCATTGTATTACTACTGAGGGTCTCAGAAAAACACTGACTAGGCCATTTTACCACTTATTTATAAAGACAGTTATATTTGAAAGGTACTTGAATTATATACTGCTATCTATTTTTTTTTATTGCCAGCACTCTTTGTTCATCTGTTTTGTTGATAAAAATACCAGAGTTTAAGGTGATGAGGTAAAAGCTTCATGAATATATAGACTTACTTTATCTCTGAAATTTGAGAACATATTGACTTTTAGTAGCACCACAAATTTTTTAATGTGAACCCAGACTTAAATATGTAGAAAATATATGTAGTTTAAAATATTAAAAATATTTTCTTTCCTAGGAAGCCAGATCTTTTCTATTCTAGGTTTTTTGTTTTGTTTATTGTGGAACTCTGAGAGGGGTACCCCATATTGCTATGTGCCCAGTTATTTATTTGAAAAGAAGTGTAAATTATTGGTGAAGATAATTCAATTTACTAGATAAAAATATAAAAGAAAGCCAAAGTTTGAGGACTTCAGAGACCTGAAAGTGCCCATACTTCCTGGTCATGAACATGCTTGCGAGCATTCACCACTCGTTACCCGTAAGCAGCACGGGGAAAGTAATAGCAACTAAGACACTTTTATCTTTAAACCAAGGTGTCAGGTTTATATTTTATCTGTAAAAAATGTAACATGAATATATTTGACATCTACCTCAGCAAACAAATTAATGCTAATTAAAGATTAATGTGTTGTAATTAGCATTAAAAATGCAATTAAATTGTGAGTAAATGGACCAGGAATAGAAAATTGTGAGACGTCTCACTGCCTGGTTTTCATATTCTGCCTTTTGTTTCTGCAGCAAATAGAGGAAGCGGAGCAGCAGGCAGCTCCCAGACTGGAGATGCTCTGGGGAAAGCACTTGCTTCGGTGAGGAAATATTGACTTTGGACTCCACACATACCGTTGTAGAAGGGTGAACTTGAATCACAAATGGACATTTGGAATTTTAGGAATTGAATGGCAAATAGCTTTGGGGTTTTTTTTGTTTTTTGAAAATGCAAGCTGTTTTGCATAATGATCATTGGAAAATTTGAGGAGAGCATACTGAAGCTCCCAGTGAATGGGTGGTTACTCCATCTTGTCTTCTCACGATCGTGTTAAGCAGTGCTCAGTTATGAGTCAGTAGGTATTCTTAGGGCCTTTTGGTTTACAGATTTTCTATCTTGATTTCTAAATTTCATATTCTTTGTATGGATGCTCATTGAAAAGCTAAGATTGGTTTTACAAAGGGCATTCTTAAACACTTTGGAAAAGGCATTTGAAGAAGTCACAGTGGCAAAGACTGGGATCCATGTAGAAATCGTCACATAATTGACACCCAGGAAATCAGCTTCTCTGCTTTGTGGGCCAACTGCTAGGAGGCGAGAATTGAACAGTTCTTGTGTGTTCACTAGTGAAAAAACGGCACGTCTTATATGTCTGAGGGGGCATGCCTGATACGTTCTCCAAAAGACACACATAGTCATTTGCAAATGGAAATGGAAATCCATTGCTGTTACTAACATTTTGTCTGTTTGATTGGCTTTTCCTTACTACTGGGAGCATAAAATAAGTTAGATTTATATTAGCATTGTGCCCTACAGTACATAGAAGTTTTTCTTTAATCTGACTTTTCTAATGCCTGGAATCAAATGCCTTAATCTTAGTGAAGAAGGAGTTGGACAGAAATTTTAGCAATGGTACTGTGCAACCTCTTCTTTTGTGGATGAGGAGAGTGATGTTTAGAGAACCTCCGTGGCTCGCCCGTGGCCACACAACTGGTTAATGGTAAGCAAAGGATTAAAACCAAGCCCGCTGATCACCAACCCGGTTCTTTTTCCACGATCCCATACCACCTCAGTAATTCTTTCGGAAATTGAAGTAATTGTCAAGTTTTTCATTGTAGGATATTGGTACTATAGCTGATAGTTGTATTTATTTTATAACTTGTAATGTTCAAATGAATTGCATTGATACTTTGTAGTTTTAAAAAATTGTTCATTGTTTATTCCTAATGAATGAGGTTATTTGTTTTTCTCCCCACTGTTTTAAGATCTATTCTCCAGATCACACTAACAACAGCTTTTCATCAAACCCGTCAACTCCTGTTGGCTCTCCTCCTTCTCTCTCAGGTATTGTACTTGAAAAACGATTTCATCATAGTAACAGTTTCTGAAAATGATTTTCCCCTTATACTTCCTGCTCTAGTAGGTGGAAACTCACTCCTTCCAAAACCTCAGTACATAGCATTCCCATACAGAAAACTAGAAGGGGGTGGAGAGACAAACTGCCATATGAAGGTATAGCCATTTTGACCTAAAATGTTTCTAAAAATTAGATGATTGGATGTTTTTAGAATACACAGGCTTTTGAAAAACTTATTTCTTAAACATTTCTTGGCCCTTGAGAAGACACTTCTCAATAGAATAGTATACTGCAGTAAAAAAATCGCAGATGAAAAATCCAGTTAATATAGTCATGGTACGGAATGAAGTAGACTACTCAAAAGAATCATTTCTCATGGAAATCTTAGATTATTTTGAATTCCTTCTTTAAAGACCATTCCACTGGAATGTTTGAGGAAAAGCTGTGATTTTGTGAATAAATTGTGATTGTGTGAAGTAAAAGCGGATGTTTGCCTTTAAAAAATAGCAAATTAACCTGACCTGTTCCTTCAAACTGAATAATTAGGATTTGTAGAATTATGTCAGTAAATCATTTCACTTTTCAGAGGTTCATTTAAGAGACTCATTGCCCTTCCAATATAAATGCTTCCAGAAAATCCGACCTAGTGCACGTCTCTACTCTTTGGAAAGAGAACAGGTGGCTTCTGTAAGATCTTTCTTTGACTAAAGAACTAAATCGCATCTGTGCCTAACTGAAACCTGACCTTATTGTAATTTTTGGTGAAGTCGTTTTCCTAAATGTTGCCTCTTGGACCCTGTTTTATTCCAGCATGCACAACTCACATGATCCATTATAAACTAAGCTCCCTGGTAGAGAATGGGAGATTTCACGTTGCCACAAAACTTTCAGAGATGGTGACCATGGCTTAGGTGGGATTTACTGTCAGCCTTTTTCAAGCCTCTATTGACATCATATGATCACAGAACAGAGAGAGGAGTAGCTGAATCCTATAGTCCATATGTCCAGAGAGACAGAGTCAAAGCTGCGAAGAAATAAGAGATGAAGTTAAGAGGATAATTAAACAACCGTGAAACATCCCCTGGTGTTTTTATTATAAAAATGGAAAGTAAAGTTCAGTATTGTTGTACTCCTCTGGTTCAGTACCATATTGTTATGCTCTGAGAAACGGTCACAAGTATTAGTGTCCAGAACCAGAGGAGTGGGTACAAAGGCCTTGAGACAATGTCTGGCCCAGGGAGGTGCGTGATGAGGAAGTATGAGCAGGTAGAACTCCAAGTTCCCCACTTGAAACAGAGCAGCTCTAATTTCATCTGTTTTATAATTTGTTGGAAAATTATCTGTGGTCTTAATAAAGTTTGAGAACAATTAATTTAATCGGATGCCCTGATTTTACAGGAGTGTGTACTGAGGTCTAGAAAGGATATGTGACTTGTGAAGGCTCCACCAGTAGTAATATCAGAGCTAGGATGAGAATCTGGTATTCACCATTTTGCTGCTCCACTTCTAGGTTAATTATGGGAGAGGAAAGTGATGATGTACAGATCATTCTGGAAAATGCCACAAATACCTTAAAATTTGAGCAGCATGCTTTAGGTAGAAGGCACAGAAATAAGGCTGGAGGCTGCCACCACCTTCCAGGGTCCCGGTAATGCATCCTCGCAGACCACACATTAGGAAGAAAGAACTTTTATGAAGATGTAAATATGTGGACTGATGACTGTTTTCACACCAATAGGTCTGTCTAAATTCTGTCACTAAAAGTAATTGAACAAAATATTCTATTTTTATTTAGCGCATATACTCACAAGCACACCCAGAAAAGACAGGAAGAACAGCTTCTAAAAGTGTTAGCAGCGTTGAGGCATACGATTTCAATGAGATCATAGATAATATTTTTCCTTTTTTGAACTATGTATTTTCTAAATTTTCAACACTGAATGTGTATTATTTTAAATTTAAAAGTGGTAATTTTATAGGTTACTCATTTAATATGAATTACAACAGGAATTTTTCTTTGCCTTCAGGTTTAGTGAATTCAGAAAAAAAAAATACTTTCTTTGGGAGAAACTAGTTAGTTGCTACTATTATATTGAGTTTTTTTAAGTATCTGTTTTGTAGATCACTGCCAGCTAATCTTATTTTGAAGCTCTATTGTTTTAAGTGTCATTTGTAAAACAAGTAGTAAGTCACTTGCCATTGGGGAAAGAATTTTGGTTTAACATAAACTGGCCTTGCATGAAGGTCTTAGAAAACCCCTTAGCCACTCTTGAAAGTACCTTGTCTATATAAGTGATAGTTTTCCTTCAACAGGAACCCTTCTAGCTAAAATTTAGAATGAATTAACTAGGAGGCAGCCTTCGGGAATTCCGAGTCTTTGTAAAATCTATATAAAATCTGCATATTTTACATTTAAAATATTTCCCTTGTCCAAAAATTCTCATATGGAGCGTTTATTCTTGTAATGTGCCTTATTGTCTAAATGAAAATCAACATTGCTGTTTCTTTTAAAAAAAAAAAAAAAAACTATCTAAAATGTTGGTGAGATTATTTTTCAGATAATATAGAGCTAATGGTAATCCCATTTTATTGTCAGCAGGCACAGCTGTTTGGTCTAGAAATGGAGGACAGGCCTCATCATCTCCTAATTATGAAGGGCCCTTACACTCTTTGGTAAGTCTCATCTGCTCTCTCCACTCTCCCTGTTTTCAGGCCTTGTTTTGCTTTTTGCATCTCCTTCACTCTCCAGGAGTCTGATTTTCCCTATTACTAACTTTAGATTAATGTTAGACACACTAGTTGGGTTGGAGCCAGAGTTATCAGGCTATGATTGTTTCTGTTTGTAGATTATAATCCAGATACTACAGTGGAAGCTCCTGGGCTCTGAATACTTAGCACCAGATAAGCGATTGAAAATGTTAGAAGGATATTGGCCTCCTCTGCATTTTTAGGAAAGGTCTTTGGATCTCCAGCCAGGCTTCATGACTGGAAAAATTCATGATTTTATATACCTCTGCTTTGCTTTCCAGAATAACAGGTTTGTAGGATGTTTCCTTTTGACATGTAAATAAGAAGTTCACTTTGGTTCTCATGGAAATCCAGTAATATCATTGACAGTAAAAAAAAAAGGCCTACTTTTTTTACCCATGGACATTTTTAAGGAGTAGCTGAAAATGTCCATGAGTGTAATTAATGTTGTAAATACTTCCATAGTGATTCCATGTCTGATACTCTAGTATTTCTCTATTCATGCTGGGGAGGCTGGAATAATGCAGAAAACAGCACTGCTCTAACTGCTGTCTGTGCAATATTTAGTCTGTATATGAATCAGGTGGGGAGGGGTTGCAGCAAGTAAAAAGAGCTTTCCAGTCCTTCAGGGTTGAGTTTCCCTTTTCTTCCTCCATATTTTGAGATGGAACATGAAAGGGAAGGGTTAGATTTATCTCTCTGACTTAACGGTGTCTTATCAGCAGTTCAGGCTTCCTTTCTTCCTTTCAGTTTACTATTAAGGATAAAAATGAAAATACAAAGGTAGATTGCCCCCTCCTTTGTGCCTTCCTTACTGTAGTGTATGCATCACCTAACTGTGCATTTTAGCTAGTAAAGCAACTGAACAGTGAGACAGTAGTCCACTACCCAGGCCAACTAATCTGAAGACTATATCCAGATAATCTATAGTTGTTTAAGTGTTTACCTCCGTCAGTTAGTCTCTGAGACCCATCTGTCAAAACTGGGCTTTGTCCACCTCTATAATTGTAAAGACTAGGTTTATACTTGTGAACTGCAGTGTGGGATCAGTTCTCTTCGAATTCTGAACCCTCGGGGGGATGGGGAATTCTCCAGCGTAAACTGCTCTCCACCACAATGCTGTGAGCCAGACAGGATGCTAGGCACGTGGGCTAGTTCTTACCATGCTTACAGTTACACTTGGAAGTATATATTATCATTCTCATTTCTATAAGTAAAGAAACATAGACTCAAAGAAGTTTAGTGACTTTTCAAGATGCAACAAGTAGCAGAGCTAAGATTCTAGGGAGGTCATTTAACTCCACAGCCCACGAAATCAAAATGCTCCGTACCATAGACTAACTGTATTAGACACACATTCTTCCTGTCAGTCAAGTAATTGGAAATTGTTTTTCTCATGCAGCAGGGCCAGCCAGTGCATCTGTTTGCACAGTGCATTGGAAATCAAAGTGGATTGTAGCATGATATAGCAAAAAGAGGCAATAGGTTTGAAGTCAAAAGACCTAGATTCCAACCCTGGCTTTGCCATTTCCCAGCAGGGTGACACTCAGCAGTGAGTTCACTTAATCTCTCTAAGCCTTATTTTCACATCTGTATGGAAGGGATAATAATATTTTATCTGCCTGCCCTAGTGAGATGGTATATTTCAAAGTACACACTGGGAGCGGTATGCAGATATTTATTTGATACCATTATGGATCACACTAAAACACATCTACATGTCCTTTTTCTTCACCAAAAACTATAGCATAGGCCTTATCTAGCCGAGAAAAAAGAGTTGGTTGGGTTAGTTGGTTTTTTGATGTGTAAACCCATTGCCATCGAGTTGATTCTGACTCATAGTGACCTTATAGTACAGAGTAGAACTGCCCAATAGGGTTTCCAAGGAGCAGCTGGTGGATTTGAACTGCCAACCTTTTGGTTAGCAGCCAAGTTCTTAACCACTGCGCCACCAGGGCTTAACTGTATAAAGTATTGAATTCTATAGTATATTAGGGGTTTTTAAATCAATTAGAAGCCCCCCAGTGATTGATTCAAGTCTCTGTGTCTATTCTGTCTTCATATTTCATACTATTACGGTTGATAGACTTTTTGTCATTTTTTTCCCCCTGTAAATATGTTAAGGCCCTTAATAAAATGTTACATTACAGTACTTGTGCATATGTGTACACATACACGAGCTGTTATTGGTAATAGATAAAAAGCAAAAAACCCAGATGAAAATCGAAAGAATTCAATGGAAGATTACAGTCTGTATGTAATGTAAGTACCTGTCCTTGGCTTTGTATTCAGCACTGTACCATATGCCAGAGGGGAAACCAAGGAAATTTGCCTTCAAGAAGATAATTTAATTGGGAGACTATTAATTGGTTGTATTTGCATTGTTAATTTTTTGAACTATTTAACCAGTGCCTGCCAGAATATTCCTTCAATTCGATGAATGTTTCCCTTTTCTAAAGTAAACCTAAATTCTCTTTAAAGCTAATGTGATATAGTATATAGCATACCAAAAAAAAAAACCCAATCCCATTGCTGTTGAGTCAATACTGACTCATAGCAAATAGCAACCCTATAGGACAGACTAGAACTGCCTGATAGGGTTTCCAAGGAGCAGCTGATGGATTCGAACTGCAGACCTTTTGGTTAGCAGCCGAGCTCTTAACCACCGTGACACCAGGACTCCAGTGTTTAGCATAGGTACAGGTACGTTATAATATCCAGGAAGAATTACAGAATTTTCTTTACTATGGAAAATAACATTAACATTAATATTTTCCACGAGTTTGCTAGGAAGGATGCTATTTATTTTTATTATTTTTACAAGAAAATAAACTTTAATGGAAACATATATTCAGAAACCTTTCTGCCTTCCTACGAAGTGTGGTTTGTATCAGCTAAAATTTTACTTCTGTAACCCTTGGATGCGTTTCAAACTAAATCAAAATTTCACATCATTTATTAACCAACAGCAAAGCCGAATTGAAGATCGTTTAGAAAGACTGGATGATGCTATCCATGTTCTCCGGAATCATGCAGTGGGCCCGTCCACAGCTATGCCTGGTGGTCATGGGGACATGCATGGAATCATTGGACCTTCTCATAATGGAGCAATGGGTGGTCTGGGCTCAGGGTATGGAACCGGTCTTCTATCAGCCAACAGACATTCACTCATGGTAAGTGATGAAATTTCTAGACTCTGTAGATATTGTGGAGAATTAGAATATTAGACTAAAATATTATGTTACTTTTTTTTTGAGCAGCTGTATTGAGATATAATTCACAAAAGTTAACAATCTATCCATTTAAATTGTACAATTCAATGTTTTTTAGTCTATTAATCTAATCAGAGTTGTGCAACCACCATCACAATCTAATTTTAGAACATTTTGATCCCCCTCCCCAGAGGAAACCTTGTACCCATTAGCTGTCAGTCCCAATTTCCACAGACACCCCGCCTTAGTCCCTGGCAACCACTAATGTATTGTGTATCTCTCTAGATTTGCTTATTCTGGACTTTTCATGTAAATGGAATCATACAATATGTGGTCTTTTGTGATTGGCTTCTTTCAGTGTTTGCAAGGTTTATATCCATGTTCTACTATATATCAGAGCTTGATTCCTTTTTATTGTCAAATAACCCATCATTGTATGAATATACCACATTATGTTTATCCATTCATCAGGTGATGGATATTTGGGTTGTTTCCACTCGTTGACTATTATGAATAATGCTGATATGAGTGTTTGAGTACAGGTTTTTGTCTGAACAGAGGTTTCATTTCACTTGGGTATATCCCTAGGAGTGAATTGCTGGATCATTGCTGGCATTCTTAATTATTCATTTTGGTGACTTCTGTTGAAGGACTCAAATTATGCTCATGTTACAGTGTTGGCATTTTGAATATGAGTGGGTTGCGTTTTGTCTCTTTTATTAAAGAAGCCAATCAGTGTCTTTCGATTCTGAATATGGGAGACAGAAATATATGGTGTGTTTGCCTATAGTATATACGTGGTGGGAGACTGTGTGTTTTAATGTATATCATAGTTTTACCACTACCTATTTATCAATAAGTCTTTATTTGATAATATTTAAGTAAATTTGTCTATATTTCAATTGGAATTTAAGTTTTTCCCATTACTTTTGGAGAACATCCTTTTTTCGATGATCATGAAGATTCGGAGAATCTCCTTAACAAAATAGTAAGTGGTGACAATGGGGTGATTACATAGATGGGGAATTTAACTTTACTAGTAGTTTACTCTACGGCAATGGGAGTGATTCTCTGTATTGCTTTTTAAACACTTCCGTCTCGCCAGCAAACACCTTAGTATCCTGTTTTGTATCTTATATTTGTTCTTGTTAGCTGCCGTTGAGTTGGTTGACTCATAGTGACCCTATATGACAGAATAAAACTTCCCCTGTAGGGTTTTCTTAGCTGTAATCTTTTTTTTTTTTTTTTTAATTGTACTTCGGGTGAAGGTTTACAGAACAAATAGTTTCTCATTAAACAGTAG